CACATCGACTGAAATATCAAGACAGAAAGAAAAAGGTGTGCAAGAAAGTACAAATCTGCTGCAATGTAAATGCAATAAAAACAGGTATGTTTGATGATTAGATTCTACCGGTTAGCCATCTTGGATGAGAAAATGTTAAAGCATTTGGAAATGTTTTTGGAAAACAAAATGTTTGGATTTCGATATATAAAAATACGAGATTTTTTTTTTCTGTTCATTTTCTTGCAAAATAAAATAATAAAAAGGCATTTTTCATTTCATTTGGACTTTAAAACCAAACAAACTGCTGCAGTTTCAGCACAGTCTTCTTACCTGTGTCATAAAATGGTACTGTACATGTGCAGTTAAGTTTTCTGACATTTTTGGGACTTACCGACTGGCAGACCGAATAATATTGCTGACTTCAGCTTGAAGCACAGAAATAGAAAAATGCAGACGGACAGAGAAAAAGAGAAAGTATCACAGGCCTAATGTTATGTAGAAAGAAGTGTTTGAGACAATCAGTGTAGAAATGTTGTAAATAAGAAAAAATGTCAATCTTCTAAATTTTAATCTTTTATCTTGATTGCCTGGGAAGATTGCCTTTCACTATGCTGCAGATAAGCATGTTGAATTGGATTGAATTGAACTGAGATAATATCCCATCAGCGCCATGAAAGGGTTGCTGAGAAGCAGAGAGGTCGATGTGTCTCCAGCCATTATCCATCTGCTGTATTAGTTATGTAACTCTGCTCCTCCTCAATACTCCACCGGTGACAGGAGACGACAGTGGGTCACACACACACACACACACACACACACACACACACACACACACACAAACTAATGTAGAAAATAACATGCCTCTGTGTGTTAAAAGGCTCTTAGAGTATTCCATCGTGTTCCCCGTAGTAACAGCATCCACATCCATGGCAACCCTGTCTGTGTCACTGCTGGTGACACAAGTTATGCCCGAAATGACTTCCTCGTCCAGTCTCTCATTACTCTCTGTAAGATAAACACCAGTAGTTTACTCAGTTGTGAGCAGTAAATTGAGATTTTGGACACTTGTCAATAAATATAATTTTGTGTCATTACAGCAGTAATTTGTGCTTCTATAACATGCATTATGTTATAGAATATTGCATTGAGGGATCCTTATCATAAAGTCGTGAAAATACCATCGACACTATATCTTTTTTTTCTCCACTGTTTTGTGAGCACTATACAGTGTATGATTTCACACGTAGAGTTTGCACTCAAGTAAAAATAAAAAGTTCAGTGGGGGTAGTTTAGGATTTGTGGACTTCTTAAGAATCAGAAAACTGGCTCGCCTGGTGGATCATGCAACCATGTTCCAAGGATCAGTCCTTGCCACAGCGGCCGAGGTTCGATGCCAGCCCATGGCCTTTGTGGCTGCATGGTGTCTCCTCTCTCTCTCTCTCTCTCTCTCTCTCTCTCTCTCTCTCTCTCTCTCTCACACACACACACCCTTTTCCTGTTGATCTTAAGCTCTCTAAATAGTTTGGTGTAACCTATTTGTAAATCAGTTTTATTAAGTCTTACTTTTTACTTTGTTTACTTGTTATTGTATGAAAGGTACTGTACAAATAAAGTGCAATATTATCATCATTAATTAATACAATTGTTCTTTGTTTACTCTTATGGCAGACTCTGCCTAGAGTGAAAGCACTGTCTGGAGACAAACTTGTTTTTTTAGCAGTCAAAGAAACTTGACATGTCTGAGCGTTGGTGTAGTAATTGCACAGACTTCCACTGTCTACAGTCTGTGAAGCATGTCATTCTGTTAGATGCAGTAATTTAACTTCCAGTGGGATCTTCCATAGTGAGCTTTTTGAAGCTGGTGGCACAGTCTGAAGCCTACCTTCACTTGGGTCCAAGCAGCAAACACAAATATGTTTGGCTTTTGAAGGTTTTCTGATCAATTACAGGCTTTTACAGAAAACGCTAATGTTTTCCAAAAAGTCTGGGACCTCCTGTGTGGCCTTTAAATGTTTGATTAGATGCTGGCAAAGACGAGCAGGACTTGTGACTGTTCTTACCACAATAGTGAACATTGGGAGTAAAGCAGATTTGGATGCTTGTAAATCCAGGCGCAGGGCAAGATTAGGATTAGGAAGTGTGTTTTACAACTACAAATGTTTTTATGTGGCTCGTCAGGTTGTTCACCGGGTCTCATCAACATTAAAAGTGCATTCTGACCCAATTTCTGTTGCTTGTAATCCCAGCGCAGTTTTGGGCTTATGTCTCTCTAGAGCTCATTGTAAAACCACACTGAATGACAGCATCAGGTAAATGTTTGAAAACTGTAACTGTGTACTACATGAATACGTATATGCACGTAACATTAGGTTAATGCTATCCCAGGTAGCTTGGTGAGTTAGTTGGGACAAATGCAGTTGAGGACCATATTTTTCTTGCCCATATTTGGCTGCCTGATTTGGATTGTTTGAGCCAGTTGAAATGTGGTACATTACATACTACATACTACAAGTCTGGCTTGCATCAATTTAGGCCTCTGTTGGTTCAAGCCATTCGGGCTACCAGAGTCACGCTGAAGTGAAAATGGAACGTTTCACTTTGTTGCAACCTCGTGCAACCTTGTTTTCACTAGCTAGGACGACGCCACAACAATATTGGATTTAAAGGTTTAGTGGGTATTCCTGAGGTTTTTATGTTAGGGATAGATTAATTGATGTTGGATGCTGAAGGCTGGGCAGAGGGAGACTCAGTGTCTCAAGTGTGTTTCCACTGAGCTGCTTACAGGCCCTCAGACACTACCTAGAATGAGATGTGGAAGAGCTATACACCGACTGAATAGGAAGGGAGGAGGGGAATAGGGGAGGAGGGGAGAGAGGATGAAGATATGTGGGTAGGAATGAGCAGAGGGAGGGATAGTGTAGGGATGAAGGGAAGGGAAAGAAAACTGAGACAAACAGGGCCGGAAGGGGTTGACCAGAGTAGCTTGCCAGGTGATTAGAGGGGTGGTTGAGGCGTGGCCCTGCTCCTGAACCTAAATTAAATAATCAACTTCACGTCGATGGTAATTCGCCTCTTAACAGTTTATTCCCTGCAGCTGCAGATTAGATTGAATGAAGAAAATATTTCAGATAGAAAACAATTTTTAACATCAGGTTTTAGTGACAACCCTCCCAGAATCAAAAGGCTTTCACACCAGGTTCAAATCCCACAGAGAAGAGGCTCAGACACCAATTTCTATAAGCCCACAGTCTGCTGCAAGACACACTGGGATTAAGGGCAATAAGGGATGCGGCTGCGATCAGTGACTTATTCCAGGGGGCTCCTCGTGCCATAGTGGTATAAGGGTCATGGCATTAAATCACAGCGATCCTGGTTTAAGGGACTTTTTTTTGTCCTGTATTTTCTGTCAGCCACTACTGTCAACTAGTTTTGTGTGTCTATATTTCCTTTTGATAGAAAGAAACAAATCCACAACTGTTCTCTGGAGCCAAAGTCATCCTAGGAAAAAAGGAAATAGAGGAAGCCGATGTGAAACAGTCTGAGGGGAAAGCGGGTACACCAAAAACAATGACACCCCCATCAAATATGTCACAAACCACTGGAGAGCGCTGAGCATCAGACTGAAGAGATCTTAGAGGATTTCCTGTAATAGCAATAGTACTTCTCTAACTTCACTGATTAAATTATGGTTATTTTGACCTTTGTGCTGGGCTGTAGTGACATGTATGTAGTGTTGATGTACGACACTGCTGCGCCGGCTCATGGACTAACACAGGAGATAACTGATCATATGGAACCAGCCAGGAAGCAGAAGCACTAACCCAAATCTGCCAACGTCCCGTCCCACATGAACGATGGAAATAGCACCGTTCTAGGTCGTTCTTTAATAACCGCAGAACTAACTTCGTGGCACTGTGCTTGTGTGTGTGTGTCAGGCTTCCCAAAGCATCTTTCCACTGAGGTGATTTATACTGTCTGTGGAGAAAGAAAGAGTGTAACAGTCTGGATGTGATCTGTGGCTGTAACACAGGAACACAAATGCTTCTGGATGTGGAGGAGGGGAAAATATATGTATTTTATTTGATTGATTTTAAATTGAATCCACTCATTTGATGAATTTTAGTATTTATTCGGTCAGAAAAGTCACAATAAAACACACTAAGCTTCTTTATGAAAGGGATTGTATGACCATTTTACAATAAAAGACCCCGTCATATGGTCCCAATTCTGTTTCAGACTTGTGCTCGTGTGTTTGTGCCTGTGTGCTTGTCCTCACCATTAAAGGAAAACAACTTTCCTGTCCTGTCCTAAAAACAAGGTCAAAGACCTCCTGCTAGAGCACTTCATTATAAACTCACCCTCTAACAACACACACACACACACACACACACACAGGACACCTTGCAGCCACAGCGAGGTCCCATAAAGTGCGGCGTGCATCGATTTTGTGGTCTATTTTGCAACAAGATGTATGTCTCTGCTCTGAGGAGGAATCGAGTGCTTTTGTCCTTGGCCTTGTTAAAGTGATTTCTCATCACTGTGGTCATCCTTTATCTGACACTGATGAGGTCACAGTAGGACAAACACAAACAGGTACAGCTGAACAGGTTTGGTTTTTAAAAATAAAATAATGTTTTGTTGAATTTTTAAAATAAAGTCTCATTAAGAAAAAGTGCAAAAATCTTGATGGATTATAAAAAAACATTCATTAAACATACATTCTCTAATTCAAGTTCATTTTATTTATTTTAATTTTGTTTCATAGGATTGCAATATATGCAGATATATCAGCATATTCTGAGCGTTCCTCAACAGAGAACTCTTTATTTTTGTCTTGAGATAGCCAGAAATAAATGATTTTGAGTTTAAACAAAAAAATAAAGGTTTTTAGCTGCGACCAGACGCCATAAACTGGCTCTACACTGGCAACTGTTTTCTTTCAAAATATTTTATGCACTTTGGTGCATAAAAATCTGTGTACAGCAGCTGAATATATTTGTCTGTCTGCTTCCCTGCAGTGGATACGGAGGGAAGGAAGTTGAAGGGAGGCATCCAGAGGAGCACGGAGACGGGACTGGCTGTAGAGATGCCCAGTCGGACTGTCCGCCAGGCCAGCCACGAGTCTATAGAGGACAGCATGAACAGCTACGGCTCCGAGGGAAAGTGAGTAACCTGTCCTGCATCGACACAAACTGAACCCAGTTTATCTGGATCCACCAACAACATTCTGATGAACACTCTCATGAGAATCACATTAATTTTGGGTGGACACAAAGAGAGAGAGAGAGAGAGAGAGAGAGAGAGAGAGAGATAGATAGATAGATAGATAGATAGATAGATAGATAGATAGATAGATAGAGAGCGAGGAGAGAGAGGGGAGAGAGCGAGAGAGAGAGAGAGGATAGATAGATAGATAGATAGAGAGAGAGAGGAGAGAGAGAGAGAGAGAGAGAGAGAGAGAGAGAGAGAGAGAGAGAGGGGTATGGCATCCAACAAAGGTCCGCAGCCAGAATCCAACCGTTGCTGTTACTTATGTTTTATTGTTTTTTTTATTATATGTTTTATAATTATTATTTAAAAAACTGGGAACTGATTTCAGTGAAATTTGATAACAGTTAAGCCATGAACACAGGAGTAAAATGCATTTTGGTGTGATTCTGAAATATCTGAAATCAGCATTTTTCAGCCCTTTAGGAAGTTTTTTGCTGGAAGTTTTGATTTTGCTCCTGTTAATCATCTTTTCTCTGTGTGTGTGTGTGTCTGGGGTATTTTTCAACAATTTAAGAACAAAATTCTGAAATGATTCTGAAATTCTCAAATGTGAAAGATCCTTCGGCATTTGTGGATGTTTCGCACTTGAGAAGTTTCTTCAAGTTCCTTCTCATTTCCATTTTGTTTTCCTCCTTAACTGTCCTCTCCCGCTAGTGTGTTTCTAGCATCCATCTAACAGAAGCAGTCAGCGGGGGGGGATGGCACACAGAGAGAGGGAGTATACAGTAAAGCCCAGTGGAATAGCGCCTATGACATCAGCAATACTAGTGTAGTACTACTGAACACACACACACACACACACACACACACACACACACACACACGCTGATCAGTGCCAACCTGGCTACCAGCTTGAATTTCTACAGTTACATAAGAAGAGGAGGCAGACAGACAGACTGACAGGCTGATGGGGGCTGGGAGGGTTTAAAGGAAAACAAGGAGAGGTAGAGACTCAGAGACTCAGAGGATGATTGCATCACTGAGTGTGTTTGCATGCATATTAATATTCCATTTATATCTGGAATATATTCTGTTTAGGAGCTGCTGCATGCAACCCTTGTTTATCTTGTCGACCAAATGAAACTAAAAAAGAATACGTCAGCTGAAATACGATGATGCTAGCTGGTTTATTCAAAATGTCAACTCTATAAAGCACACAAAGGGCCAGAGTAAATTAGGACCACTTATGCATCTGTATGAAAAAATAAGTTATTGATTGTTTAATGCAAATACCAGATCGACACTGAGGCATTAATAAGATTGATTGTTTGTTTTTTTAGAATATTAAAGTACATGTAACGCTGAGAAGTAAGAGTCAGAGTCGACACAAAAACACTGAAGGGATCTGTGATTTGTTTTGGTTCATTGCTGCAGTGTTTACGCCTCTTCATCCGCAAACCAGTCACATAATTTGTCCAATCAGTCTCTTAATGTTCACATACTTACAGTATAATTTGAAACTGCAAATATGCTTCGAAAGAAAGATAACGGTGCCTGGATTATGTTTTCTATTAACATAATGAGAAAATGTTGTTAAGTAACATATCAAGTCACAAACTGTTTATATTGAATGTATCAGCAATGTACTCTGACAGTGGACTTTATCTGTTCATTCATTTCATATAAAACCTTTTTGTGTTTATCTTTGAGGACTCACATAACTTTTTCAGGTTATGGAAATATTGTGTTCTTGGTTAAATTTTTAAAAAGTAATTTTTTATTGCCTAAACTTATACACAGGTAGTGAATTAAGTTTTAAGTGACAGATAGAATTTAAAGTCTGATCATTTTGTTAAAAAAAAACCATCACAAAACCAAACTTGAAATATTTTCTTACTGTTACTTCTCTTAAGTGCTAGAAGTCCAATAATCTCACAAACTGACCTTGAATCCTTAAAATACAATCAATATGACCAGAGCACAACGTCTGAGAAGCATCTTTCAACCCCTCATAAAATAAACAGAGGGATGAAACTCAAGGCAAGAAGCTTGACATTGAAATGTGCATGATATTTATCATTGATAAGCTACATTAACAACACATTACAACTTTAACATTAACAAACTAACCTCTAGGGCTGTTTATGGGCAAGAATCTGGCGATACGATACAGTATATTACAATACTGTAGGTCAGGTGATAGATTGTGGAAAACTGTACAAAGATTAGCACCATATGCGTAAAAAATCTGAGTTAAAAAGTTTTTCATGAAACCAGAGCAGTGGGATCTGCATTTGTATTTATTATATATAGCATTTTTTAGAATTAATACAATACCACAAAATAAAACTAAAATATGGATATTTTCTTACACCCCTAATAGCCACTGTTATTTCTCCACAAGCTTAACCTTTATAGTTAATTCTCTGTGACTCTGCACAGGATAAGCTTGTATAGATTATAGATGGATATATGGGGAAATTGTTTTTCTTAAGCCATTTTAGTTATCTGGCAACCATGGCCTTAATCGAAGAATTTAAATTCAAAAGTTAGAAATTGTCTGAATAATACTATTGTTACATAACTACTTTATTATTTCTTGATTCTGTCAGATAGAGGAGCTACTGTAGTTGGTTAAAATGTAAATCTGTTTATGCAGGGCGTTAGGCAGAGTAAACTGAGCTGCACCACCACATTATTTAAATCAGCAGCAGCAAACCGCTGCTTGTCTTCCTGTCTGCTCGTGTTTCCGTCAGCTGTTTGGCTCAGTCCTCTGATTGAAAAGCTCTGTGCCTGCCTATGCACGACCATGAATAAGCACTTTGTTAGCTAACACCATCCAATCACACTTATGAGCTTATTGATTTATGGTCCGGCCAATTCAGGACCCGGAAAATGTGTGTGTGCGTGAGTGTGTGTGTGAGTGTGTGTGAGTGATGATGGGGCTAAATGGGAATGGTTTGCTATGTTTGTATAAGGGATATGAGAGTCTTACATTACATATTGTCCTGTCTGTTCAGTTCGGGTGACTAAATGATATAACGTGGCGAATAAAGACACTGTTGACATTTAATTGGGTTTAAGTGTTTCAAGTTAAATTTACTGCCTTTTCTTCTGGCAGCTCAACCTTAGTACTACGTTAGTGCGATGCGCAGCACTGTAGAGTTTACAGTTACAGTGGTGAACGTTGCAACGCTGTGTCTAAAACAATGACATGTATACACTACAAATCTGCCGGAGCAAATATATTTATAAAGAGACAAATTGCTGATGATATAGTTTTTTAATCGATATGAGTCACAAAGTGTTCATTGAGAATGCATCTGCAAAACGTTCACTAACAGCATGCTGAGTTTTAAATACTTTTGACTATTTCAATATGACACCTAAGGTGTTTAGTTTTTTACCACCGAAACCACAATCTGTGACTTTTGTGCAGAATAAGAATGTAACACTGGACTGCAAAAACATGTAGCCACTTAACATAATCCAGGCAGAAAGTTGCGTATCCTCAAGATTTTTTTAACTCACAATCTGTAGCAATGTTTGGAAAACGAGTCCTTACTTTTAGATGGATGTAAAAAAAAAAAAAAATTGGGTTGCTAGCTAGTTTATTCTATAATATTAAATCCACAAGTTGCTCAAACTCTGTCTCTCCCCTATGGCTATGCTATGCTAATGCCTGCTTATGATGCAAAATAGGCACCAATTAATGATCCATGTTGTTGACATGAACCAAAAAATGAGCTGCATTGTTCATGTGCTGCAGACGACAGCAAGTTAGTCTTTGTGTTATAGCACAATATTATAGAGAAAAAAAAAAGATTGGACATTTAGGTTTTCTTGCTTTGCTTAACATAAACAACCCACTCAAAGATGACATGTGTTTCTGGTTCAGTTTATGTTTCCAACATCCTGTTGACAAGCACCTCCTGAATCATTGATTCTTCACCTTCATTCATTTTAACTAATTCAAACCAGACCTCACACTCATCTGCAAAACATAAATGGTGACTAACAGTCTTATATAATACGATATAGAATATGTAAAACATTTTACAATATAGGACCTTGAATATTTGTAGCAATTCCCGTGTGTCATCTGCCTACAGCACGCGGTTTACATTGAGCGTCATATTTCTGTGAAACAGCCGCGTAATCCCCAGATGTGCCTCACACACACCAATATTATAATCTAAAGCTCAGGATTTTATCACCCAGTAATTCCCACTCGGCTAATGTTGCTTGACTTATTGCATGTCAGGTCGCTCTACACACACACACACACACACACACACACACACACACACACACACACACACACACAGGATTTTACATCATTATATGTTGATTTATTAATTCTGTGTATCTTAATTTACTTATTGCAGCACATACCAGCAATAAGTGCCCACATGCACAGAAATGGGAGCCTACAACACTGGAAATATGTAAATTGTCAGAAACACACATAAACATAAAACACATAACTGCACAAACATCAAAATGTAAATGAGAAATCAGGGGTATGAATGAATTATTAAATATTAAAAATGACCTGTGATTATTTAATGTTTGCTAACGTCTGCATAAATGACTAATTCAAGCTAAGTGAGTTTGTGTGTTAATCACAGAGACCTGCCTTGTAAATTATTTTGTAAGTACTGTTGTGCTGTTTGGCTACTCACTGCGAAGTTAATATTAAATGTCAGGCTGTGAGACTTTGTTGGAACAATCCAGTAAATATTTTAACACTTTTTTTTAACGAGGAATACAAAGCTGTCGGGTGATTTAGATTGCAGTCCTTGTTGGGTTTAAAAAACTGATAAATAAACCTGTTTCCTGAAATGTGCAGCTACAGTACCCTCATCAGAGCAGGGATGAATAAAGATTGTGCAAACAGAATATAGAAATGTGAAAGTAGAGACAAGGAGAAAGATGAAGGTTAAGGAAATGTAGGAGAAGAAAGGGAGGAAAGAGGAAGAGGGCTGCCATCATAATGTGATAAACAAACTCATCACAGTGTAATTATTATTATTAATTATGGATTTTTTACAGTCCTGATCTGGGGTGTTAGCATGGATGTGACTAGTTAAGTCCCTAGTCATCCCAGGGTGACGCAAATGAGGTTCTTCTGGATGTTTGACAACTTGCAAGGCAAGTCGGTTAACTCTTTAACTGGGAAACTAACCATTCCAACAGTCCAACAAGCTATAAAACTAAACTAAGATTACTCAAAGTTACGTATTTGTATCATTGGCTCCTGTCTCAATGCCTCTTAAGTGGAGCACTTTATACTCCTGGAGAGCAGGAGCCACAACAACCAGGTGCCCCAAGCAATGAAAAATACTTCAGCTGATTAGCCCGGTGGACTCAGGGCTGTGGGCCAATTGGCATAGGTAGATGTACTGGTAAAGGAAATAGCTTACCTCCGGTCCAGCTCCACATGAACATGTCTCTCTGTTTCCTCTTGTTGTGGAAGTCAATCACCCCAGGTCCGGCACAGGTTTATTTTTAGACACAGAACGTGCCGACAAAAGAGAGTTGGCATTTTGAGTAGCAGCTTCTTTTATGTGGCAACCACTTCCACCTCTTCACCACTCCCTCTATATTAAGTACAGGTGAAAATAATAGGGTGTCTCTACACACAACTGTATAAAAGTGAGTTTTCAGACTACTCAACATGTATACTTTTCATCAAATTGCCCATTTCTACACGTGTTCTCAAGTGTTTCAGTTATTCTGGCTGATTAGACCTCTGCTCAGATGGACAGAGCTAGAAGGAATTTGCTGCAGTCCAATAAAACTATCAGGAGAGTTAAGGAGATGTAAATCAATCACAGTCACAGCTTGAGAGGAGGTTTAACTTAGCAACAAAGTAAGTGGAGACTGTATGGTTGGACCATGGTTGCAGAACTTTTAAGGAGACACACACACACACACACACACACACACACACACACACACACACCACAACATTCATGCTGTCACAGAAACAGGAACCAGTGCTGTTGGTTCTGAAGTCAAACGCCTGAACTGCTTGGCCATCATAGTTCAGACCCCTACTAAGCATCACAGATTTATGATTTATGATATATACATCAGCATCAGAGCATGTTTGGGTGGATTTGTCCTTCCATGGAACACACATATACACACACACACAGTTGTGTACCTGGCTCTCTGCCACAAAAGCACTCTGAGCTGATTCCTTTGCACAAACACACACAAAAACACACAAACTAAGGACACATGGGGGTCAAACTCTAAAACTAACACTCTGAGTTTAGTTTCAGAGAGCCAATTTAAATTTTGGGAGTTTAACTAAGTTGAAACAGGAGTGATTCCTTATTTTCTATACTTGACTGTTTTTGTCTGTTTCTCATCCTCTGTCTTTATCTTCCTGTCTTTGACTCACTTTCTCTATCAAATTGAAGTACAGTGAGAACTGCCTGGTCGTGTTTAACCCTCTGTCCCTCTCTCTGCAGCCTGAACTACAGTGGCATGTGTCTGGCATCGGATGCACAGTTCAGCGACTTCCTGGACGGGATGGGACCCGCCCAGTTTGTTGGGCGACAGACGCTGGCGACAACATCCATGGGTAAAAAGTTTTTATTTTTACAACCGTTTTGCAAAGCTTTTCCCCAACAGTTCATCTACAGTGAGGCTTTCATCCAATCTTTTGTTAACAAAGATGACGCAAGACAAAAAACTTAATCTATCCCACCATACTTAATTGTCTCCAAGTTGAGGAGGAAAATGATCAAGATTTGGGGGTCATAACTATCATCTATATTTTGTAAAATGCCCCTGAAACAAGAAACTCTCTCGATGAAAAATTGGTCTGAAAATTTAAAAGGAAAAACAGTTTATTTCCTCATAAAACTGAACTAAACGACTGCTGAAATCATTTCACGTTGGCAAAAAAACGGCCCCATAAATCAGAGCTAGGTCCTACTGCAGAGTTTTTCTCAACGGCCCCTGCACTTACTCATTTCCAGGCTGTATATACTGGATATATTGTATGCAGCCTGTCCTCCACAGCAGTGATCTACTGTAAGTGGGTCAGTTTCCTCGCTGGCAGCCAGACAGTGTCCTTGGCCCGACAACAGTGACACTGACTGGACCGACTCCACTCCAAACCTGCTGTCCAGTCCAACATTATATAATATCAGAGAACTCAGAATAACTTGGCTGTCATCTGCTCTCTGTCACTTTCAAAGGAATGCATTTGTCATTTTGGGGACATTTAGCTGAAACTATTTTCCAATATGACTTCCAGTGAAGGGAGTGAAGAAAAGGTTTCATTTTCAAAATCACAAAAAAGCTCTAAAGATTTTCATCTCTAGGAGCCAGAAAGAAAGACAGCGCTAACTTACTGTCCGCTTACAAAGTTGATATGGAGGACATGTAAGCAAACACTTACCTACTTACACATCCAGCAGACAGAGCAACGCTAGCATTTATTTGGAGTTGTGTACGTGTAATATTCACCCGCTCTAAAGCTGGGTACTAAACTTACCACCGAATTGCTTTGATACTACTGAGTATTAAAAAATGTCTTGTCATTTGGTACCAATTTTAATTGCTGCCATACTGTTTGTTATTATTGTTCCTTTTGATGGGTATACTATTGTATTTTCTTGGTATTGAAAAACGTATAGTTCAGAAACTGATTTCAAAGTCAAGGCCGCAGTACGAGAGTCTGTCGCTGGTCAGTGGCTCTAACTCCACTTCGGAGGCAGGCATTTTGCAAAAGTTGCTAAGTAAAAAGGCAAACATCTCCCGAAAAACCCAACCTAAGATGAACTCGCCGATATCCAATAGCCCAACCGTGTTAGCGAACAAATTTGAAATTGTTGTTACTTTTCGTTACAAACCAAACCAAACCAAACCAAAACATGTTCTTTTCGCTTACCTTTTCCTCTTCCATTAATGAAATGGCTTACTCAGGGACCCCTCGAACACGCAAAAACTGTATTATATCCAACATTTTCTGTCAGTGAATCTCTTGCTTAAGTTGGTTCCTTACTAGTTAATCCTTCCTAATCCTGAATTTAAAGTGAAAATTCTGAGAATAAAGTCAAAATTATTTTTTAAAAAAAAGGTCAGAATTCTGAATTTTTTTTTTTTTTTTTTTTCTCATTTAGGCTCACATGTGAGTTTTAATTTGGCCCAAATCCTCTTCCGTAAAAAAAAAAAAAAAATACAAATAAGTGAAAAATTGTGTGTGTGTGTGTGTGTGTGTGTGTGTGTGTGTGTGTGTGTGTGTGGCTTTGATCTTTGATTCTAGAATCTGGCTTTGATCTTGGATTTTAGAATGGCTTTGATCTGGGTCTATAAATATGGACAACCCATAATGTTTAGGGGAGTTCTCTCTTTTTAACAAAGTTAGCAACACTATTACCCTAATTAACCAGTTAACTGGGTATATCAAAGTAATAATGAGAAGATACAAGAACATTGCGAAAAACATGCCAGAGAACATGGAGGAGGAGGACCTATCTGACGATATGGAGGAGGATCTACCAGAGAGTACAGAAATGTTTAGTGCTAAAGACATTCCAAAGATTGTTGAATTGTTTAGGGAGGCTGATGCCGATGATGGTGGAGGATTGGATATGGACGAATTTTGTGTAGTGATGAAGAAGTTAGATGGTAATTTGACCACAGAAGAAGTCACTATCCTCCACATGCAGATTGACACAAACTGTGACGGAACTGTGGACATTGGGGAGTTAATGACCTTCCTCTTACACCAAAATACGGCATCACAAAGAATGGATTTTAAAAATCAATCCTTTCCCAAACCTTTCCAAATAGTACCTGTGGACTGTCATAAAACAGTCATAAGTACAATATTCCGACCCTTCGACGATAACGTCGAACTTGGTTATGGGGTTTCAACAGAACAAACCAGGCCTTACAAGAAAGGTCAATACCTCACCATCAGCTCAGATGGTGTCCTCAACTTCTGGACTGACAGGTTTGAAACCCCATACACATTTAATTTGAGCACAAATCAAAAGACACTTCCTTACTCAAAAATTGAGAAAATGTGTGTTAATGACATGGTGTACATCAGAGAACTCAAACAGCTGGCTGTTGCCACTTCTGACAGGGAACTGTTGTTCTATGATTGTACTGAGTTCCCTACAACTTTTGGAATCTGCCATGCTTTAATTGTTGACAACAGAGTTAATACCATGAACTACTGGTCTGATGGAAAAAAAGCACTGTTTTCCTTTGGAGATATTAAAGGTTGTTTGTCAGCCTTTATCTCACACAACATAAAGAGTTGTGGTCTTTTCCCCAAGGAGGTTTACGAACACCCCTCTCTAAAGGATTATCCAACTGCTTATGTTCAAAAAGTGCTTAAACACCATTCCAAGGACTTTTCGTCATTTGAAGTCCCCATCTTCGGTGATGTGTGCAGTCAGATCCGATACTTTCCGTTACTTGACTCGTTTGCCATCTGCGGTAGTTCATCCAAGTCAATGGTCCTCGCTACCCTACCCAAGCCACCCAATACCAAAGTCTCTAAAACCATCTTTGAAAGCCACGGACATGCAGAGTTTTTCACCTGTGTTGAATACTCCCCTTCGGCTAGGTATCTGGTAACTGGTGGTACAGATGGCTTATTGCGGGTGTGGTTTCCCCACAAGAGCATGTCGTGCGAACAGGAATTATTCGGACATGTCAGACCCATTACCCATATTATGTACAATGGTATGGAAAAAACATTTATCAGTTTATCGGACGACAAGATTGTGTGTGTGTGGTCAGAGAATGGCTGGGTGTGCCGACAAAGCTTCCAGGCTGAAGGCATGGGACGGGCCCCTCTCTCAAGTGTGTGTCTTAACATACACAACAATGAGTTAGTCGTGGCTAACTCAGATATAGGAAAATGTCTTGGAAGAGGAACAGATGTTTTTAAAGATACATTAACAACACATGACAAACCCTTGTGCTCCGCTCTCTATCACAGCATTTTCAAACAGGTTGTCTCTATTTGCCAAAACGGTGTGGTGACAGTTTGGGATATCACAACAGGAAAAGCTGTGATGGAGTTCAATGTAACTCCACATCGACATGTGGGGTTCACTGCCATCTCACTTGACGAACCACAGCGCAGACTATTCACAGTTTCCCAGGATGGGAAAATGAGACTGTGGAACTTTAACAATGGAACAGAGCTTGGTGTTCTTCCTGTTACCGTGCCAAAGGAGGTAACAGGTATCGTCTGCATAAATGATAGGATATTTGTGTCTGGAAGAGACTCCAAGAAGATTTTTAACCTGGATATCGAGGGATATGACAACAGATTTTTGGAGCATGATTATTTAAATGACGTTACCTCAATGGATGTGCATGAAGACGCACTGGTTACTGCCTCCAGCAATGGAAATATTGTTTTCTGGAATACAGAAACTGCAGAAGTTCTCTACTGGATTAATGCCAAGATGAGCTCTCGAACACAAATGCCAGACAAAAAGAACACACAAGGACGATCAGGGAGTCTACCGGTTGACAAGAGGCAAAATAATGTCAAAGACACTGAGAAAAAAGCTCAGTGTAAAAAATCCACAGCTAAGACTATGAATTCTCTTAGCCCTCTTATTATATGTCTTAAGACCAGGGCCACCAGTGTTCACACAGCCACACTACTGACTTCTGCAGATGGCTTCATCTGTGCCTGGTCTGTTAAAAGCAACGGGGGTCTGTTAGGAAAGTTCAAGGCAGTGAATGACGAAGGTGCAGTCATTACCACCATGTCGACCAATGTCAATGAACATATACTACTAGCTGGGGATAGTACCGGAAGGATTTATCATTGGGACATACAGGGATTTGGCTTTAAAAGACGGGAAGACAAAGCGTGGTACGTGTCACTGTGTCCACCTCCTCTGTTGGGGACCTGGCACTCTCACCTCACAGCTGTGGTGAGTGTTAAGTGTGACCCTGACTGTAAAAACATAATTACTGCAGGGTTAGACTGCAATGTCCGGATATGGACAAACACAGGCCGCTGCATAGGCCTCTTTGGGAGGGATGAATGGCATTCTACCCAACTCAGCCCTGCGGAGGATGCTGACCAGAAACTGCCAGCAAGACCTGATACGGCAGAGATGAGAAAAGAATCAAGTATCTCTCAAATACCACTTGAGACTACAAGGTCATCACCGCCCACATCTCCACTACCAGACCTACCACCTATACAAAATTATCCTGCAAAATTTGAGAGGCTCTATCAAGACATTACAGACACATTAACGGTAATTGACATTCCAAGTGATGAGGAATTGTTTAGAAGGTATCGGAAGTTGATGAAGGTTAAACCAGAACCTGATCAAATGAACGACAAGGAGCAGCATCAGTCCAAGAAAGACAAACAGCAATTTACTAGAAAGGGAAAGCAAAGGTCGACACATACATCAAAGACATCTCCATTAAACACCACCCCAACCACAAGCTGCACTACTGCAACAGACAGCTCGCCACACATGCAGCAATTTGATGGTGCGGTCAAGCTGCCGAAGTTAAAATATGGACGTGTGTTCAAGACTCAGCAGAGACACACATTAAAAGGCAATGTCCTAA